TGTGTGAGTCTTTCGGGGGGGGGCCATGTGTAAACATTAATGCTTATATTTGTGCATCTGAAGTAAGTTGCAAAGTTTCCTATATAATATCCATCTGAATACTATGTTTCCTTAACTATCATCTTGCTGCTTAAGCTTATGAATTTGATACTGTGGGTTCTTGGTGCCCACAGCTGACTACAGTGGTTCACTCTTCTCCCTAGTGAATGCTAGACTACGGATATATAGCCAGGAATGACATATTTCTGTACATTTATTAGTGATTTTAACTCACCACTTGCAACTGAATTTGGGTACTTTATCTAGCAATGGATCAGAGCCGAAGATTTTCTTCTGCTATAGGAATCTGCCTTTATCAGAAAAACAGCATTGTTCTTTAACACACTACAAAACTTTGGCAAGGTCAAAAACCAGTTTGGAGATATGGTTCAAAAACCTTTCAAGGTGAAATCAGGGAGGGAGGAGTATATCCTTTGCACACACATAACATTTCTCTCTTGTTCTGAACTACTAACTGCTTTTTGAACTCCAGGAAAGAAATAATTTGAGGGTTCTGGAAGAAAACGTGTGTGTGTACATATAATGTGCCCAGAGCTATTGAAACCAAGGGTCTACCAAATTCAGCTTTTTATTGCCAGAGGCTTCTGAGAAATCTACAAGCAGGGCATGAAGACAACAATCTTTTTCATGTTTGTTCCTTAGAAGCTGGAATTTAGAGGTTATACTACCTCTGTATGTGGAGGCTTAATTTAGATAGCAACATTAGCAAGGGATAGACATAGGTTTCATATTAAACTGGGCCACTGGTCTGATTCAGCACAGCTGGCTTGGGTGCATTTTAGAAGAAGAAGAGATTGGATTTATACCCCGCCCTTCACTACCCAAAGGTGTCTCAGAGCGGTTTACAAACTCCTTTCCCTTCCCCTCCCCACGACAGACACCCTGTGAAGTAGGTGGGGCTGAGAGACACTGCTCTTTTTCAAGAACAGCTCTTATCAGAGCTACAGCTTGCCCAAGGCCATCCAGCCAGGTGCAAGTGGAGGAGTGGGGAATCAAACCCGGTTCTCCCAGATTAGACCACTACACCAAACTGGCTCACCTTCTTCAAAAGCCATTTAAGTCACTGTTCATCACCATAGTGTGTGGAAGAAACTTCAGTAAGCTAATTATGTACTGTGTGTAAACAGGCACTCCTGACTGCCTAAACATATTGACAATTTCATTTGGCAATCCCAGCACTGAAACTGATCGGCAGTAACTTTGGAACAGACACATTAACGGCAGAATCTTATGCAGAACTCCAGCGTACATCCATCCATTTCAATGTAAACCCAATGGCTATTTCTATAGTTATGTGGACCAAAATTTTTCCCTCTTCCAGAATGAGAACAGAAAAGCAGGAACATGATTACTCAATGCTGCATTAACAACAGTATGTTGGTGACCCTCTCCCAATGTAGTAAATGGGCTCCAATCAACATTTCTGTATTTTTAATGAATTATCTGGAGGCCAAAGACATTCTCGTGCCAGAACAAGGCAAGAGTATTTGTAACATCTGAAGAAGCATACTAAGTGCTCTTAATATGGCCTCCCAGATCCTAGTGCATGTTCTCAAATTCTTATGAATCCCTCAATCACAACATTAGTAACAGGGAACAAACTTCCTTGAAGACTGTGTCTCTCCCCTAGCCATCTTCCCCTTCATTGTTCAGACACAGGGAAATCTGGTGTATTTTAGTATAGTCTATCTGTTTGTGTACAGTAGCGGCAGAAAACAGTAGAGGTGGCTAGTACTTGTGTGAATTTAATACCCTAAAATATATCCCAGAGTACTGTGCGATGCAATGGATAACAGATACACTGAAATTTGTCGAGACACAAACAAATTTGGAAAGGAAAAGCAAAAGGTTTTAAAATCACTGTCCTGGTACGCAAAGCTACATGAATGTGAGCAAAAGTTCAGCCTCTCTTAAGTCTGAATATTTAACTGATTATCTGAATTTATTATATTGATTATATATAACAATGGATGCTACTTAGTATTAAACCCTTCCTTCCTCTTGCCTCAACAAAATACCAAATCTAGTGAGCGTAAGAAGCTTCTGAAGTGTTTCACATACATAGGGGTTTTTTTTGCAATTTCCTGCCAGTTGTCTTTCCAGAGAAAGAAAAAGGGGGGAGGGGGGAAAGAAATGAAGACATAGTATTGTGATGGACAGGAGGCTGACCCTGAAAGGAATAACAGTCATTCAGCTGTTTCATCCCTGAGCCTATCGGAGTACTGCTCCAGCATCCAACCGTCTTTCGAAGTGGGGAAGGGAATGTTGGAAGCACAGTGTTCAGTTCTGCCTGAGGGGACAGTGAAGTCATAGTTTGGGCCCACCTCAGCAAAAGAGCAGAAAGTTTGAAGGGCAACTCTGCCTGGTAGTGTGGCAGAGTGGTTTAACTTGTATGGAGATAGCGATAGAAAGCTGTGAGGCCTGTCTCCGGTAATGAGCATACCTTGTACAGTTTAGTCTGACCTCTTGGGGGAAAGTAGGCAGGCGTGGGTGGAATCCTGCATGTGAAAGGATCTAAGTTAGCGAAAGCCTGTTTATACCTGCAAGAATCAAAGAGAATTCAAACCACACTATGAAGCCATAACTAGGTTAAATTCACGTGCCTCTGCCAGGCTTCTCCTTTGACTGTCTTAACACTTGTGCTGCTGATCTGTTCTTTAAAAACAACCTGCATGTAAACAAAACTTCTTTGTTATTTGCATACAACTCCTGTCTCAGTGATCTCTGTGTTCTTTTTGCTCACCACAAAACTTAACCTCAAGACAGCAAACCCTGGCTACCCTGACAACATCTGGCAATTGAGGGGAAGGTGTACAGTTCTAAACAAACCTGGTTCCGAAAATCGTAACAGGCTTTGTGGGTTCCTTTGGTCCCAAGAAAGGGTCTGCACAAGCACCTTGCTTAGAGCCATCTAGGGAATTCAGGGCAGAGATGAGGTTTGAGTCAGGAACTTCCTGCCTCATATCTCATTCACCATTCTCCTCTGCTCCATTTTACCCTTACAGCAACCATGTGAAGTGGGTTAGGCTGGAGTGTGTGACTGACCCAAGGTCACCTAATGAGCAGTCATGGCAGAGTGGAAATTTGAACCTTGATCTCACAGATCCTAGCATGAAACTAACCACTACACAACACTGCCTTTCACAGGATGCTACTGAGCAACAGCAAGTAGCTGGGCCTGCCATTGGTTATTACAGAGCCTGGCCCTGATGAGTTCTCCCTCAAAAGCCAAAACAACCCTGGAAAGGGTCCTTGCCCTCTCCCCCTGCCTTTTACTGACAGACACCAAGGCCTGAAAGCCAACAATACTATTGTGGTTGCCTAGCAACTTCCACAATAGCCACTGTTAAGGGCATCTGTTTCTTAAAGGTACAGACACTGCTTCTATCATTGTGGGGGGTTAATCCCCCATTTTTATATTTCAGATTTTTCTGAAAACCTATGGGTTTTGCGCGTGTGTAGAATTTGGGGTCCCTATCTCTGGGGCCATATTTGGGGTCCCTATCTCTGGGGCCATATTGATAATTATATACATGAAAGATAATTTAATGTTTTCAAATATTTACTGTTTTGCAGAAGAACATAATATGACTTTCATCAAAATTAAGTATGATAGTTCAGGGGGTGTACAGGATGCAGAAAATGCAAAGTGATTAAATATGAGTAGCAGCACTGTCTCAATACAGGCTAATCTAACAAAACAGTACCTGTCTTCCATGACATCGCCACATTAATGTTACTTCTGTTACTAACACTATGATGTAGACCACAGAACAGTCCTAAGAGAGCTGTGGAGATGATAAGAAATGTTTACAGATCTTTCCATATTAAGCAATCATAGATAATTAAAACCAACTCTTCAAAGGAAACAGAAGTTGCCGGTTAGCATCACCCATTTACTGGTATGGTTACAGTACAAATACATTAACCATTAAAAGGTCAGCATCAAGTATTTTTATAAAACTCTACTCTTGCCTTTTGAAAAGGAATAAGAAAAAAACTGTCTGCTTGATAAAGACAGATTGCAGCTAATAGTATCTCAATGGAGACCACATTTATAGGATTGCCCTGAAATACAATTCTAATCCTAAACACACTTTTATTTAGGACTTACAATGAGATTGCCCTGAAATACAATTCTAATCATAAACACACTTTTATTTAGGACTTACAATTAGACTTCCACACAAATATGCATAGGACACAGGCATGTATGAAGCACTAATCTATGAACAGGTTTCACTACAATGATATTTACTTAACACAGTATTGAAAATGGTAACTTCAAAGCTACTTACAAACTAATCCACCTATTGCAGTTGTAGGAGGAAGGGAGTAGTGAAAGAAACCAAGGCATCAATTTAAATATTTATACAACCACTTTAAAAAGGTATTCACCTTTGCCAACAGTTGACTGAAGCCTCAGAAAAATATGGGAGAGATTCACAACACATCCCAGACATGATCTCCACAAATTCTATACCTTCTCTTCATGTATTGACCTCCAAGGACTGAAAAATAAGGGGAGATGTCTCCTTTCGGTCCTTGGATGACGTCTTTGAAACCATATCCTGCATTTTCAGTCTCACCTACTCTTAAAGAAGGATCCTAACCCACGCTAAATATTGCCCCATAAGCAGGCAGATTTTGCCATATATTTTCCAACACATCACAGTCTGAACCTGACGCGTAGTGCTCGTGTGTATGCGATTTCTTACCACGCGGCAAGATGACACAGAAGACCAAACTACCCCAGAGAAAGACCTGGGACAACTGAGTGGCCCGCGGGTTAGGACTACCATACCACTATCCAAAATCAGTATAAGGGAGTGACCGAGGCCCCCGGGGGCTGCTTGACGCAGCTACCCAAGTCCCTCCTCGCTCCACCACCTGCTGCGAGGCCCGAGCTGGCTAGCCGGTTGCCTTCGCCGCTGGCTTACCTGGGGACTGTCCTCCAGCGCCTCCTCGATGGGCAGCTTGTCTATCCCAGGCATGTCGACGGCTGAGTCTTCACACACCGACCCCTCGCGCCGCACCCAGCTGACCAGCTTGCCTTCTCCGCGCAACCACAACAAGACAGCCCAGCCAAGCTCAGGAAATCCCGCCCCGGCACTTCCACAGTGGGGCGCGGACCCGACGCTTCTTCCCATTGGCTGACAAAGCGTTCAGTCTACTCGCAAAGAGAAGGCGGGCGCTCGGTTCGGCCCCGGTCGAGCGATCCGGTCGTGAGGTTTAGCGCGCGACGGTCTCCTCCGTGTTTCTCATGGAAGGAAACGTACCTGGCTGCGCCTTACGGCAAAGCGAGCCGGAGCACGGCCATTATTCAGCCGTGTTGTGTTTTCTGCCAACTGACCAGCCAGCCACAAGCCTTTGTCGTTTTCTGTCATAGCTCGGTCTCGCCTTAATTTCCCCCTATTTTTAAAAAATTATTAAATTTCCGTTAATGAAATAAATTGCAGTTGAAAGAGAAAACGAAAATTAAAGTAATTTCTTACCTTTAAAAAAAAACCCACTAACGTGGAGTTCTCTTAGTACCTTCTCTGCTTGTCAAATATAGAATGAGAGATATTGGGCAGTGCAGGTCTTAAAAGAACGAGCTGTAAACTCTACATTGCCCAATCACGAATCTCAGTGTAGGTTGATTCATTCACATGTATGTACGTCTGTGGCTTGAGCAAACTTGGCTGGCAGGCAGGCAGGCAGGCAAACATGAACTGCGGCCATTTTAAATCATGTTGAAATGATCAAAGTACCTAGGCGAATCATCCATTCAACCACTACCTCCTATCTTCAGTATCACATGCATAACAGGTGGAAACTATATTACTAGGATGTTGTCTGAATTATTGTGGCAGCATGTGTGAATTGTGACTCCCTGAACACTTAAAGAAATGCAGTGCAAATACAAAGTGCAATGCAAATACATGCTGGGCATGATCTTCACGGCGGGGGTGAAGGTTGACCGGATCACTACAGAGGTAGTGCCATGGTCAGACCACCGGGCCCTGAAGGCCCATCTGAAGGTTCCATCCCGACCTTGTTTAGGCGGCGAGCGGATTTTTGCTCGCCCACAGCGCCAAATGGACCCTTTGTGGCTCCAGATGGCCCTGCGGGATCCGAGGCCCCCTGGTGGCTCGTTGGATGAGCTGGTGGAGGACTGGCATGTCCAGCTCTCCTCGGCCATCGACGAGATCGCTCCCAGGCGCCCTCTCTGCACTCGTGTTAGGTATACCCAAGAGTTGCGCGAGCTAAAGTGAGAACTGAGACGGCTAGAGAGACGGTGGTGCCGAGCTCGCGATGAGGCATCTAGAGCATCTTATAGGACGGTTATGAAAGCCTATGAGATGGCAGTCGAAGCCGCAAAGAGAGATTTCTATGCGACCACGATTGCATCTGCTAGCTCACGGCCAGCCCAATTATTTAGCACAATTCGGTCTTTGACAGCTCTGCCACAGGGCAGGCAAAATGTTAGGGAGTTGGATATTGGCTGTGAGGCATTTGCGAGCTATTTTGCAGATAAAGTCTTGGTGCTTTGCCACGATCTCCCCGCCACAATTGAAACAGTGAGCGAACTTGAGGCCCCTTGCACGTCTTTGGCGCCGGGTTTAGAGTGTTTTGACCAACTCAGTCTGGAGGAAGTTGACAGATTGCTCGTATCTGTGCGTCCAACCACATGCGACCTTGATCTGTGCCCCTCTTGGCTCATTAAAGCGGGCTACGAGGGGTTTCGGGGTGCCCTGCGGGAGATTATCAACATGTCCCTCTTGGAGGGACAGTTCCCTGGGGCACTCAAGGAAGTGATGGTCCACCCCCTCTTGAAAAAGCCAACTCTGGACCGAATTGGCCAACTATTGGCCGGTGTCCAATTTGCCCTATTTGGGCAAACTCATCAAGAGGGCGGTGGCGTTACAGCTACAGAGCTTTCTGGAGGATGCTTCTGTCCTCGATCCCTACCAGTCCGGCTTTCGTCCGGGTCATGGGACGGAGACGGTGCTGGTCGCCCTGACTGTCGATCTCCGTAGACATCTAAATTGGGGTGGTATGGCAGCGCTGGTGTTGTTAGATCTGTCAGCTGCGTTCGACATGGTCGACCACCAGTTGCTGGCCCACCGCCTCGCTGACGCGGGGATTCAGGGGCTTGCCCTTCAATGGTTTGCCTCTTTTTTCCAAGGTCGGGGACAAAGGGTGGCGATAGGGGACCAGTGGTCCTAGAGACATCCCCTTGAGTGTGGGGTGCCTCATGGGGCTGTGCTGTCCCCGATGTTGTTTAACATCTACATGTGCTCCCTTGCCCAGATTGCCCGGAGTTGTAGGTTTGGGTGTCATCAATATGCCAATGACACCCAGCTCTATCTGATGCTGGGCAGGCGGCCAGACTCTGCCCCGAATGACCTTCATTGGGCATTACAGGCTGTGGCTGGGTGGCTCAGACTGAGCTGGTTGAAACTAAACCCGGCAAAGATGGAGGTCCTGGGCCTGAGTCGGATCGGTTCAGGGTTGGGGCTCCTTCTCCTGACCTTTGATGGGGTGCCTCTGGTGCCAGCGTCGGAGGTTAGGAGTTTAGGTGTGCGCCTGGACTCCTCTTTAACGATGGAGGCCCAGGTGGCAGCCACTGCCAAGTCGGCCTTTTATCATCTTCAGCTGGCTCAGCAGTTGGTCCCCTTCCTTAACCGCGATGAACTGGCCACTGTGATCCATGTGACGGTTACCTCGAGGCTAGACTACTGTAATGCTCTCTACATGGGGCTGCCTTTGTCGCAAATCCGGAAGCTGCAGCTAGTGCAAATTGCTGCAGCCAGGCTGTTGATAGGTCTCGCTAGGAGGGACCACATTCAGCCTGTGCTGAAAGCGCTGCACTGGCTGCCAATAGCATACCAAATTCGCTTCAAAGTGCTGGTTCTTACCTTTAAAGCCCTTTATGGCCAGATCCAGCCTAACTGAGGGACTACCTTTCTCCATATGTTCCCCCAAGGGCACTACGGTCGGGGAGTCGTCATCTCCTGGAAATTCCAGGCCCCAGGGACATTAAATTTGCATTGACCAGAGCCAGGGGATTCTCGGTGGCGGCTCCTACCTGGTGGAAGGAGCTCCGGGAGGAGATCCGGGCCTTGCGGGATCTTTCTCATTTCCGCAGGGCCTGCAAGACGGAGCTCTTCCACCAGGCTTTTGAGTAGGAGCCACCACCACCACTACTCCATCATTGCTATCTATGCACCATTGCACCATCACCACCACTATCTGGTTCCTTCGGGGTGTGAGGTGACCTGGCAGGAGAAGGGATGACAGACTATGGGAATGTTATCGTTGGGATTAAGACCTACCTCATCTTGTGACAAATGGAGCACTGATATTTTGCTATTGTATTTTATTGTTTTATTGTTATGTTGGTTTTATTTGTTTTAATCTTGGCACTTTGTGCCTCTTGTTAGCCTCCCTGAGCCTTCGGGGTAGGGTGGGATATAGATTCAAAGATAAATAAATAAAATAAAAAGTGTCATTGTCAGTAGATTCCAGAATGATCAGTCCCACTCACAAATCGATGGCTACATAGGAGAACAGGGTCTTTGTTCATCCCGTGACCTTTGGAACTCCTAGCACCCGGCTGCTAACACAAGAAAATGTGCATTAACTGAATGGAAACAGAGACTGCTATTTGCAACTTAACCTAACACAGCAGCCTTCAGCCGGGGAATCACTGAGTTGCATGACAGGAAAGTCGTTACATTGGAGCCATATTACAAGGGGACAGAGATGTTTAATAGTCTACGTTTTTCACTGGGTCTCAAGGTGGATTACAAGTATGATAAAATTATTCAGTCAATCAGCAAATGAATTACAAAATATAACAACATTTGAATCTTACAGTAAAGATTCCTAGCCAAACAAATTAATGCAGTGGGGCTGGGACTGAAGAACAGGGCTGGGGCAAGATAAGGCAAGCAGACATAACTGTCTAAAGCCATTTGACCATGCAGGAAAAATGTATCCCTAACAGAAGTCGTCTCCTGAGTTGATCTGTTACTAGCGAGAGGACAGTTGTACATTCTAAGCCTGCACAGAGGCTTGGAGGACAAGATGAAGTGAGGCCTGACAGGTGAGAAACAGAAAGATGCAAGAGGATGGGGTCTGTGAAGCTGCCTGTGTTAAAGAACCCTTCTGCTGCTGAGTGACCTTACCTTACCATTCTGCTGCTTCAGTGGGTTCTGGTGGGCTGCATACAGGATCACAGCTACTGGGTCTTGGTTCAATATTGATAAAGGGGCTGGGCTGGTCGTTCAGTAGTGTCAGTTCATGCCTGTGCAACTGCATGACCATCAGGTCATGGTGAGGCCTTTGGCACTTTCGTCTCAGAGCGGATGTCCAGATTGCTACTTGAGACCTGATCATGAAAAACTAAAACTGCAGTTTTCTTCCTCAAATAGGAAGAATGTGTCAAAAGTGTGTAGCGGCTGTGTCATCAAGCAGAATCACAACATTTCTTCTGAATATCTTTCTCATTTAATTTAAGAAATGACAGATACCTTAATTCAATACCTACATCTCCTACTGCATAAGCAAATTTCAGATATTGCTTTAGTCGTAAAATGTCCCTAAAGAGCATGCATATCTTAGATTTTTAAAGTGAGATCAAATTTACATGTGTATCTTGCTCTCAGAGAGCCGGCGTGGTATAAGCGGTTACATCATCAGGCTAGGATCTGGGTGACCCAGGTTTGAATCCCCACTCTGCCATAGGAGCTTGCTGGGTGATCTTGGGCTGGTTACACATTCTCAGCCTAATCTACCTCACAGGGGGTTTTGTGAGGGATAAAATGGAGGAGAGGAGAAGATTATAAACTACCTTGAGTCACCATTTTTTTTGGGGGGGGGAAATGGGGTAAACATTAACTAAATAAAGTTTGTTTCAGAGGGTAGCCATGTTGGTCTGCAGCAGAAGAACTAGATTTGAGTCCAGTAGCGCCTCAGAGACCAACAAGAGTTGTCCAAAAATCAGTTCAGCACTGTCTGTAGCAATGTTCCCTCTAAGATGAGTTAGTGTGAGCTAGCTCACTGTTTTTTAGCCTCTGGCTCA